AAGCCCTCGGGCAGAATAACCATTCTTCCTTCTGTTCTTCCTCACTGCCTGCTCTACTGCATTTATCAGTTTATGTCATAGATTATTCTGTACAGACGTGGCTGTCATCCAAGGCTTTGAGATCTCTGAGGACAGGGATTGTGTTTCCTTTCTCTTTATATCTCTGGGATTCAGCATAGTTCTTGGCACATAGTAGGTCCTCTGTGAGTGCCTGATGAACGGGAAAAGACTAAAGACCTGCAATATTAAAGAAATTAGTATTTTGTGGATGGAGAAAAATCACATGTGAAGTTCATTGTGAAACTAATCTTTTCTCCCCAATACACCCTGATTAAACTATGACAGTTTCTTCCTCTCATGAGCCACCTGGATCTTAATGGTTATTTTCTTACAAGACTGTTGAGTTTACAGTATGACAGAATTGTGTTTACCTTGGAATGAGGGCTGTCCTCTATTAAGAAGCTTTCAGAGAGCCCAAGAGTCGAGTTATGGTAGTGTGGGCAAAAAGCCAGGAGGGAATGCCTAGGGGAAAAGCCCTGATGGATAAGCAATGCTTTATCATCTGGTCCCTGAATCTTACAGATTAAGAAGTGACTGAGCAAATGATCCCACACTTAGGCCTTCCCATGTTCCAAGGCTTGAACTTACTCTGACTGGCTCCAGATTCCCAGTGATGCATACAGCCCACAGGGTCAGAGGCCACTGTGCTGCCAGTCAGAGAGGCAGGTGGAATGTAGCTGCACCCCCGGCTGCATTTCCCAACACCTCACTATCCATGATGATCGCTCGTCGGCATGCTGTTTCTGCCACCTTGTCATACTTGTCTGGGGACTCAACGGCTGGATGTGTGGAGAGCTGTCCCATCTTTTTTTTTTCCCCCTCAGGACAAGCTCAACTTCACTTCCTCTGGCCTTATCAAATCCTTTGTTCCCAAAATTGTTAATCAGCGACTTGGGGAGGTTGAACTCAACCCCTCCCTGCTCATATCCTCCCAGCTAAAAGTAATGAGAAAAACAATTAATGTGGTTTGGATTCCATCTTTCCCACTTTGCCCAGCCTACTATGACTTAGAAGGATAAGGCTGGTGAATTTTGTCTGTTGCATTTTGTACGTAGTACTGGTGGTTTCTTGGCCATCTCTACTTCAAGCTCAGCTTAAAGAAACATATGGCTCTAGATTCTTCAATGCTACAGATATGCTACTTTCCCCTGTTAAGAGACTTAACAAATGAAATCATGGTTTTCCAAACCTCTTTTCATTTACCGTCAAAATAACAAGCAAAGTCTTGTATTTCAACAGAGACACTCTTTTCTCTCGGTTATTGAGCGAAGAATGTGCCATTGTCTCTGCTGTATATTTTTATTTTATTTGTAAATTGTGCATGCTGCATGCCACGGAATACTGAAAAGCCATACACCCTGGCTTGTTACTTGACACATAGTATGTGTGATTACAGATTGTCTGAGTAACAGTGGGCTATTGAACTGCCATCCAGATGTGTGTGGCGTTAACTGTGGGAAGGTCCACAAAGGAGGATTATCTTTCTTGTTGCTGGGGGCCAAGCCCTCCAGAAAGTGGAAATGTAAGTGTGGAAGCTACTCACATTGAACAGTTGCTACAGATAGCTCCTCAGAAGCAAATTTAATAGTTTCTTTGAAATTCCACATTGCAATTAAGACTGAGTTTGTTCTCCTTAAGTAAATAATACAAGGAAAATGCCTGAACAACAACAACAAAAAAATGCAGTTTTGAATGAATTTGAGGAATGGTTTAGTCATTTTATATTTTTAAATATCTAGAAATTTAGAACATGATAAATTCAAGATAAGACCCCAACCATCCCGAACCTCTGACCTATCTTCTTGTGTGCCTGGTCTATGTCTCCTTCACTCCCTTCCATCGTCTGCTGTATAGCATACTACAACTGTAGACTAGTTGGTATTCATAACACTGGCCACGGGAAAATAATGCAGAAATCTTCCTGTGAACATTCTCAGTCTTTTTTTTCTTTTCTTTTTAAAAATTTGCTTATAGGGTTTATGCATTCACCAGAGAGACAGAGAGAGAAAAGAAAAATGAGAAAGTACACCTTCCTGCACACTGGGGAAGGGGATGGCCACGCCACCATCCCTCCTTGGAATTTTGGACATACACACACACACACCTGCCAACATGTTTTTCTCCTCTTGGAATTTTGCACTTGCACACACACGTGCCTGGCATGTTTTTCAAGCTGCCAGGTCCAGGCCAAACCACTCTTGGCCATGAGGGATCTAGCCGCCTTAACCACCATGCCACTGACTGGCCCATGAACTTTCTCTTTAAAAGTCATTTGAGGGACTGGCAGGATTAAAGGCGCTGGATTCCCACATGGCCGACCGTGGTTCGAGTCCCAGACCTAGTGATTTGCTTTCTCATGTTCCCTTTCTCTCTCTCATTCTCTCTCTGGTCAAATTAAAAAATAATAATAATAACAAATGGAATTAAATAAATAAATATTTTTTAAAAAAGATTTTGAAAATAAAATAAGTCATTTGAACCACAGTGAAATACCACTTTCTTTCCACTAGGATGGTTGCAATAAAAGAGTCAGACAGTAGACCAGACTATGGCCTGGTGGTAAGGCAGCTAGATCCCTCATGCCAGACAGAGCAGATTGAGTCCTAGACCTAGTGGCTTGAAATATATGCCAGGCACATGTGCACATGTGCCCAAAGTCCCAAATGGATGGAGAGATGGAGGAGAAGGGATTGCAGTATTACCATTCTCCATGGGAAGTACTTTCTTGCCTCCCCCTACCTCTGTCGCTTTCTGGCAAGCACATGTACCCTCTGACAAAATTAAAAAAAAAAAAAGTTGGACAACTACGAATGTTGAAGTAATGTAAAGAAATCAGAACCTTCACATGCAGCTGGCGAGAATGTAAAATGCAGTAGTCACTTTGGAAAACAGTTTGACAGTTCCTTAAAATGTAAAACATGGAATTACCATATGACCTAGCATTTCTGTTCCTGCATTATCTCTACCCAAGACAAAGAAAAACATATGTTCAGACCAAAACTTGTACATGGATATGTATAGCAGTCTTACTCATAATAGTCAAAACGTGGAAGCAACTCAAATGTCCATCAACTATGAGCTGATAAGTAAATGTGGTATTTTATTCAGCCATGCAAAGTCATAAAGTACTGATCCAAATGGATGACCCTTGAAAACATGCTCAGTGAAAGAAGCCAGACACAAAAGACCATATGTTACAAGAATCTGTTTGTATGAAATACGAGGAACAGGCGAATCTGTAGATACCAGCTTAGATTAGGATTTCTAGAGCAGGGGAGGTCGTGGGGAAATGAAAAGTGTTAATGGACATGACTTTCTTTTAGAGCAGTGAAAATATTCTGAAAGTGATTGTGGTGATGGTTATACAGTTTGGTGAATATTCTAAAATTCTGATGAGTTACTAAAATCTGGGTGAATTACATGGTATGTGAAGTATACCTTGGTAAAGTTGTTTCAAAATAAGGGCAAATGAAGACATTTTCAGATAGAAAATTTGAAAAGATACTTGAAGGTGATTTTTTTAAAAAATTATACCTAAATTTAGGGTATCTTTAAAAACCACATACCTGAACTTTTTTGGCAACATAAAAAAGAAGGGGAAATGTTTTAAATGTAATAGCTTATATCCTTTTTCTTGTTTTAAATCTGGAATGAAAGCTCTGTTACTTGTTTGACAGTATCAATGCTTTCTATCTCTGGTTGGAATCTACAGCAGCAAGTTGGCACCCAGCCATCAAATACCTAGAATTACCTTTGTGCGATAAAAGTCCCTTTAGCAATGCATATTGAAATATATCATTTTGAACCTATTTTAAATTCTGCAGCAAGTAAGTAAAAAAAAAAATTTTTTTTAAATCATGAAACATCAGGCAAGTCAAAGGAAACAAAGAAACGAATAGGAAATCCTCTCTAGATTCTGTTCGCACTCCACTTTCTGTAGTTTAATCTAAAGAAAAATGTGGAATTTCCTGCAGAGTGATTAATAGGCTAGTGTGGTGACATACAGGAACTCTGAGCTTGACCTTGCAGGTAAAGGCTAACTGGTATGTTAAGTTGATTACACAATTTCCTCTCAATAAGTTGACAAGTGGTTTGCACAGTTGCCTTGACTTTTGCCCTTATAAATGCACACTTATAAATGACTTGCTTTTTCTGCTAAAGCAATCCTTATTTTAGATGTGACATGTGTTAAGTAAACAGCCTGAGATGGAACCCCAGGTTCCTACTTTTCATAGCCAAGTCAAATGATTGAAGTTGCCTGGGGTCCAGAGTTTGGGGAGCCGGAAACTCAATTTTGAGATATGGCTATATTCATAGGGCATAAGAAACCCAAAACTGTTGTCTTCCTTCGAGTATTATGAAGACAACTAGTGAATCTGAGAGAATGTGTTCCACAAATGGTTTGAAATAGTCCAGGAGTAGAGACTGCTAGGTGGTTTGACAAGTAGATTTAATTCGAGTGTTTTGTACAGATTGCCTTCCAGATATCAAGTCTATAAGAAATGTCTTCAAAAATATGGAAAAAAGGTTCCTACTCTGAAATTCTATTCTATGATCATTTTCACAAGAAGAAACTGTAGTCCCTTTATAGTTTCGAAAAGATCGTTTATTGAGATACTTCTTTTTTGTACCTATTGCTTCCTTCTATTTAAAGGGAAAGTTTCAAAAGCTATTATAGATGAACAGGAAATACAGTTTCAGATGATAAATCAAAATGCTCTTAGGTAAATAACTACTTATTTGTAGATTTATAAGTCAAGCACCTTTATTCAACCTAATACATCCTGATTTGATAAGCAAAAAGAGATTTGCTAGGGTTGTTGATTTAGCTGAAATAGACTCGTGTGTGTGTCGTGTCTCTTTCTGAATGAGTTAAGCATTTGGAAAATGAATTGATTTTTATTTATATATACAAAGATAATACCATTTATGCTTTCCAGGTCTAGAATATGACAAGCCCTGAGCTCATCTGGAAAACAGAATATTATTAGGACTCAAAGGTTAAATGTGCCATCCCACCATCAAAGTCGGTGAATGCTCCTCTGAAACAATGTGCAGGCCCGTTATAAATCATTTTCATTCATGTTAACTCTTACATAAGCTGAAACTCAGCCTGAAAATGTTTACTGCTTTCCAGAGATGACTCATGCAGTAATCTTTTTATTTATTTCATTATTTCGCTCAGTCGTCTCTAGGTGCTCGTAACAAAAGCCTAGCTTTCCACAGGCTGGCTGGCCGTGTACTCGGGCAAAGGCTGGAGCTAATCCCTCCTGCACTGTGTCTTCTCCTTGCAAGTTGTCAATACCCGGTAACCATTAACTATTAACGGCAACGTCATCCTGCCATTCCACTTCCTGCCCAGCTGGCCAGCACCCTGTTTGACATTCAGGGAGAGCTTTTTCATGTCCAGCTTTCTCTGCTTGTGGAAGGTTAATTTCTCCTCAGATTTGGTTTTAAACTCCACATGGCAAACCTAAGTTTCACCTACTCCCACCCCAGTGGAACAGTCAGAGAAGTTTCTGCTCCCACTCCAATATCTCTGTCAAAAGAGAACCTCTTAAAAATAAAGCATTTCTGTTATATACATTTTTAATCAAAAATTTCAGAAATAAAAAAATATAGGACGTAATATAATGAGCACCTTTCTTCCCAGGATAAGCTTAAGAATTAATATTTTACAAATACAAATGAAGCCTCTGTTCAACCAGAGGGGTTGAATAAGTCTGCAGCACCTAGAAGGGATCCAGGTTGAATACAGGGACCTGCACTATGAGGGGATGGAGGGGTGATGTTCTCAGGAAGGAAGATGGTTTATATTTTTAGTATTCAAAATATTTGAACCATAAGAAATTGTCAATATTCACTTATTTTCAACCTACAAAAATGGCAGCTTTATGGACTTCAACCTGTTAGTAGAGACAAATGTCTCTTGCTCGTTACAGAGGAAACCAGAATCAGGCTCCCACCTTCTCTTGTCTAGGCCATTAGCTTAGCCTGAGAATTGACTTCTCTGCCTTTACTATCAGCTCTTTTCAGCCCAACCTCTACTCTCTTGTTATAACCATATAGATAAAACTGATTAAAGTTAAACCTGACTAAATATTAAAGCTAATTCATTTTAGAAGTATTACTGTTTAATTATGGGGTGCTGCCCAAATTTTGCCAGAAGAGAAGTGGAACCCATGGCATGTGTATTGCATTTTTTTTAATTTAAATTTATTTATTTACATTCATTCACTATACTTTATTACAGCATACAAAATGGGATTTTCCATCCAGAGTACACTGTATATTGTATTGGCTCAATCAAGCACATCAACAAACATGTTATTGTCAACAAATAATTTTCCATTTCTTGTTTCCTGTATGTTTTGCTTTTTTTTCCCCATCCTTGATTCCCTATCTCTTACCTTCTGCTATTACCCACTGCCCTCCTACACTGTCTCTGGTATCTATGTTTGCTTTCTATACTGTTTTTCCCCCACATTTTATTGACTCACTAAAGATCTTAATTAATCTAAATATTTTCATAGCAAGCACAGCTGATATATACATTTTCATGAACACAAGTCTAACTTTAGGTATCCTATAAAATAGCACCTTGCTGGGGCTATATATCTTATTGCAGTCATCAAATAGATTCTTTTTTCTGAAACTTTTTTTTTAAGGGAGATTTTTGTTATAGGGCATGTGTGCTCACTGGAGAGACAGAGACAGAGAGACAGAAAGTAAGAAATCATTCCCTAGGGGGGATGACCATGCCATAATCCCTTCTCTTCCATCCTCCTCTCTGGATCTTGGGCACACACACATGCCTGATGTGTTTTAAGTTCCTGGGTTTAGGACTCAAAACAGGATCAACTACATGGGAGTCCAGCAACACAACAATTACACCATCCACTGCCCCCTCCATTTCCTTTTTACAATCTCAAAAGGTCTCAATTCCAGAATCCAACTAGACCCAAAGTTTGGTGTCAGGCATGGTAGAGCCGCTGAGACACCATCTCTTGGGTTTGTGATTAAGATTAGTTCAGGTAATACAGGTGTGCCTCTATTTATGATGGGATTACATCCTAAAAAAACATTACAAATTGAGAGTATTGTTAATTCAAAATGCACTCAATACATCTGATCTACCAGTACATCTAACTTGGTGTAGCCTTCTTTAAACATGCCCAGGACAATTATGTTACCCTACAGTTGGGCAAAATCATTTAGTACAAAGCCTATTTTATAAGTGTTAAATATCTCATGTAATTTACTGTATTGAAAGTGAAAAACAGAATGGTTGTATGAATGATTCGAAGTATGGTTTTTACCAAATGTACATCGCTTTCACACCGTTGTAAAGTTAAAAAATCGTAAGTTGAACCATTACAAGTCAAACAGAAACTGAGCCATCAAAACATTGAAAAATTGTAAGTTAAGCCATCAAAAAGTGGAGATGCTCTGTACATGTATGACACAGTACACAGTACTCCTCTCTCTTCTTTTTTGTCTGTGTATTCATTTATTTTATAAGAAAGAGAGACAAGGGCCCAGTAGGGTCTTGGCATACCACAATCCTCCCTTCACCCCTTCAGCCAGCCAGGATCATGGGTGTGTGCATGCACACCTGGCATGCTCAGGTGGACCCAGGGTCTGAACCCAGGGTCTTCCCAAATGGCTCCAGTATCACTCAGTGGCACCCTACTTTCTATACCACCACAGCTGGGCTGCTAGCAATAACTTAACCAAACATGGAAATGACTGTAAACATCTAAATATATCCCACTACATTCAGAGTAGACTGTCCCTAACTCAACTTCTCCTCAGCTGTCACACTAGTTTTCTACAAAGGAGTATTGTAATAGAAAGTCAGTAGCCTTGGGACCAGCAGATGGCATAATGGTTATGTTGCTCGACTCCCACATAGTCAACTGTAGTTCAGTCCCAGACCCAGTGGCTTGAAACTCAGGCTAGGCACATGTACGTGCATGCCCAAAATCCTGAGAGGAGAATGGAGGAGAAGGGACCACAGCATGGCTGTCCCCCGTATGGCACTCCCTGGGGGGGGGGGGGGTGGGGGGATTTTTTCCTTTTTATCTCTCT